GTTTTTTTTTTATTTCCTATGTTGGGCAGTTTTTATCGCGCACCTGTCCTCTGGCTTCCCCTATTTGCAAAGATTTGGAGCGTGCGGGTGATGATTTAAACACAGAACAAGCATCTTCGCACATATTCATGAGAAGAAAGAATAAAGCAGTACATATTTATTGCAAATGGGACTATATTGCGTGGCTTTCAATTTATTTTGATCGTCTGCAAGCACAAGGGGTTACTTACTCAGTTCCTTGCCGTCTCTCTTGGTTTTCCAGATGTCCTTCGTTCGTTTGGCACGTATATCCCCCATGCTGGAAAGCGTCGACGCCGTGTGCGCGCTAACAGTGTCCGACAGTGCACATAAATACACGTACGAAGCGGTTTTAACACCGTTTTTAATGCCGCAAATTTCAGATGAAAATGCTGTAACTGGCCAATTATTTCGTTTGCGTGACTGAGAAATGTTCCAATGTGCCTAGTACGTACAAATTATTCGTGATATTTGCTTTTATAATCGAGCGCAGAGAGAAAATGCACTCGCTTTTTCCTATAGAAATGCATTACCGGAAGTCAAATTCTCACTGCTTGCTGTCTGCTTCAAAATGCAATAGCACAATAGCACCAGCTGAGCCTCTAGCGTTTATTGTAATAACTCTACGGTTAGAACGACGAGTTTTCATGGCAACGAAGCTCCAGACGGCCGTTTCGTTCGTGTTCGTTCGCAACGCAAGGGGTTGAGCCGGGCTGAATGTTTTCTCCACATTTGGGAAAGAACGCAGCGGCCTCACCAACAGGCCAATCACAAGTCGGAGAGAGCTCGGCCGCGCGTTGCATTCCGGTCGCGGTTCCTTCTATATGCCGAAATACATTGCGTCGGTGGTGATCGTCGGCATGGTGGAAGCTCATCGTTCCGCATAATGCGCTATCCTTGACTGAATTCTCATCGTGTGTCACTACGATAACCGAGCACGTACTACCGGGTGATTCAAGGAGACGGCAGGCTCTTTCAATCGACCGGAAAATTCGGTTTCTTAACCTAGCGCGCTACGACTTTGTGCAGCGTTGCCCACAGATGGTGCATTTCTTTCTTTTTTTTTTGTGTAAAATTTGCGAAGAGCGAACTTACCTGAGGAAAAAGTAAAGAAAGAAAAAGGCTTAGCTCCTATTGAAACGCAGTGACGCCACCGGTCTTCAAACAACACGGCGCCGTTTCGCACGGGAGACAAGAGACGGCGCAACAAACGCCGTTAACGAACGAGCATACGGCGCCGAGAGCAGGACTTTTTAGCAGACAATCTTTTCGAATCAAAAGATGCGCGTGTTCCACAGGCGGCGACAGTCGCAGAAACAAAAAAGACAGGCGCAGTAACAGCAAGGAACTGCAGTTCCTTGTCTGCTAAAGGGCTGGCTCTCGGCGTCGTCTGCTCGTTCATTAGCCGCAGTTGGCGTCGCGACCGCTTGCGCTATCTCTTGTCTCCCGTGCGAAACGGCGCCGTGTTGTTTGCAGACCGGTGGCGTCGCTGCGTTTCCATAGGAGCTAAGCCTTTTTCTTTCTTTACTTTTTCCTCAGGTAAGTTCGCTCTTTGCAAATTTTACAAAAACAAAAAGAAAATGCACCACCTGTGGGCAACGCTGCACAAAGTCGTAGCGCGATAGGTCAGGAAACCGAATTTTCCGGCCGATTTAAAGAGCCTGCCGTCTCCTTGAATCACCCGGTAGAAGGGAAGATTCATCTACTCGTGCGGCGATGTCGTGGCGGCACTCTCAAAACAGCAGAAACGACCGCGCCGTCGTGTTTGTTCACATCGACTACAATGGTGCTTTCTTGGCATTCGTGTCCTCAAAGATCGCCAGGATTTTATTTTTAAGCACTTTTTCGTATGTTTAAGTTCAAGTTATTACTACTGCGTACCGTACGTGTAGATGGAGGATGCGAACATTCACGGGTTTTCATCACCTGAGAAAAGTGAGTAGTGTTAGCGTTCCTGAACGCTCGCACCATCTATGTGATCACGAAATCATATTTCTATGTTGCTATATCGCTGCTAAGAGTTCATCGCCTTTTGTGATCGTAGAAAAGGCGTGTGGCGAGATTAGTACGATTGGTAAAGTAGTGATCGGTCTAAGACGACCTATTGACTCTTTTTCTGTTCGTTTTTCCTTTTTTATCCACCCTGCCGTGCGTGCTTATCCTGGGACAAAAATGAATAAAGCTTGACGCTATAGAAATTTACTGTCCGTCCATTTTCTGTTACGCCAGTGAGCGGCAGCGCGTCGCCGTGACGCATATGCCGGTCGCGACGACGGGATATGCGTATCGCTTGTGTACATGTTTTAAACCTTTTATAGAATACGTAGAAAAACGTATTAATACGTACATGCTTCGGTGTAAAAGGGAAGGCTGTGCAAACTACGATAGGCTGTAGACTACCTTGGAAGTCTACACGCCTCGAGCTTCAAATTTTCAGATCTCCGGAAGCAAATTAGCTACGGCGTTCAAACAAAAACTGAATAATCCTCGTAAGAGCATAACAGGATGGCTTTCAGATCCGACCTTTCATCAATGGAAATAAGAAAAAATTATGATCTCAGTACGATCTGTCGTCGAAGCGCCCACTAGCATTCGCCGATGAGTTAAAACGAAAGCTGCGGACGGTCATACATAAACCGGTCGCTGCAATTACACATATATATATATATATATATATATATATATATATATATATATATATATAGATGTATTATATCCTCGTTTAGCCGCACCGCGGGAAGGTAGATTTATTTCAAGCCGTAGGAAACACGTGCTACATGCAGCTGTTGCCTGGAATTATCCGCTGCGACACGCAGGTGTTTCTACAATGTACGGAGTCGAATCATAGCCACACCGGGTGAAACCCCGTCTCGATCGCTGATGTCAGTGGCACGGCAAACATTACGTACGGAAGAACGCAAGAGCTACGTCTGTCGTTCGAATCATACGTGAATAATGTGAGTGTCTTTGGTTTTAATTCCTCGAGGCTCAGCAATTTTACAGATATTGCGATAGAACTCTCTTTAAACTTTTTTGCAATTGCCATACGAGCTAAATTTCAGTCAGACAGGAAAATAGCTCACACACTACGGCGTTCACGTCTTATTCAAATAAAACCTGCAGGACAGGGATCAGGAGCCCCCGAATTCCTTAAAGGAACATATTTTTTTGCCCGACATTGCCTAAAAGAGAAGAGCGCGTTAGCGTCATTTTTCATTTTTGGCACCAATAAAATGAAATATCTGATCTAGTGCGCAATGTTCTTAACCGCACTGTCCATCGGGGGCAAGTTGTTTATTTGTGTGTGAAGCCTCTTTTTTAGTTATTATTTTGGAAGTGACTATAAGTATCTGTATAAATGAAAAAAAAAAAAAAAAGATCCTTTAGGATGTTGGAACCATGGGAGCTCCAACGTTTGTTGGTACATCTTTTGTTGCGCTGTGAATGAAGAAACTATAGTCACCGGAAGGTCAAGAAAAGCAGGGCGTGGCTTCTTAATATGTTAATTATTCTCGCTTCGTGATTGGCTCATCAGAGTCCTTACCGTCTAACGCCGCCACCTCATCGGCTGAGGTGGCGGCGTTAGACTTTAATGAGATGAACGGGGCCCGTCTCCCCGTGCGTACGTTCAGCTCTCAGTGTCTATAGCCCAAGATGCGGCTCTGACGTCACGCCTCTGCGGTGGCGCCGTTGACGCCACGGCGCATGCGCAGAAGCTTCCCGTCACGCGAGTCTGGTTTCTGCGCTCGCGCAGTGCCCAAATCTGGTGTGGGCAAACGCGGGCTTGTTTCAATACGGTGTGTTGGTCTATAGTGGGAAACTACCAACAATGGACGGTCCCCATGACGACTTTGCGGAACGAGTCGTATCATTAAGAGGACTCAGTCTCTTTTCGTCTAATGTGCGGTTAGTTATCGACGCTAGGGTAACAATAAGAGTATTTCTTTATATATATATATATCCGACGGTCACAGGCGCGACACTTAGAAATACCACTTAACCTCATTGACAACCAAAAGAAAAAAAAACCCGTAAGATGTGGCGAGTTTTGATCATTATATTGCCGCTCAACATCCAATGAGACCGCAGCATTTTTCAATAAGAATACCGTATAAGAATTACCGTATAACCACACAAAGATTGTGTGGTTATACGGCGAGCAAGTGTTCTAAAATGCGTCTTTGGCGCATTGGAAGGGAACAGACAGACTTGCACGACGTATATCTTCTCTGGTCTTTCGGTACAAAATGTGGTACGATATGTCAAGGGGATATATAGTGCTCTCGTGCCATATATGTGCAGAGTCGCATCTATTTCCTAAAAATGTCCTCTAAGCTCATTGGGATCCCCAGGCAGCGAAAGCTAGGTTAAAACGTACACGTAATCAGATAAAGCGTCGCTTGTGTTTACGGCGGAAGACAACCGGGCCTTCATGTAGCAAACAAACCCGAGCAAACATCGATAATAGTTCTTGACTCTATTTAACGATGATGGGAAAGCCCCCGTTCAGAGGCATGCGGTAACGAGTTCGAACACCGGAAATTGTATATTCTATAGGCAGTCGCCTGCTATGTCTGCACAGGTGGGCCCGTACTAACCCCAATAAAAAACACGAAAAATACAGCTATTAGAAATCGACTTTTCTTTCGCTTCCTACAATAAGGCTCGCTGCGTTGCTCCTGTAACTTCAAGCTGAGATTTTGCTTCTTGCCCTTATGCCTTAGCACGAGCTGAGGCAGGGTCTCGATTATAGGGGAGCTGTGAAAAAACTTCATTATAGTCAATGATAGCTTCAGAAACGCCATAGCTGTGTGAGTCGTTCCCCGATGTTTTCATTGGACATTGCCGCAGTCTCACTGACTGCGGTGCGATAACAAGATGCTAATAACTGGCCACACCCCGAGTTTCTTAAGCTGTCTGTGACGATCGAAACAAATTTCTCCCAGTAACCTTGTAACCTCAATATGTGTTTCCCTATGCAGATAACTGGTCTATTGTGCTATAGGGGCTGTTAGCGACCGTGCAGTCAAGGCGGAGTCATGAAAACGCAAGTGAATTCCACCGGGGTCGGTGAACAGAGCCTGCCGGTTTTCAGCATCCAGACGTACGACAATAACGCATTCAGCGACGCAGAACGCCTTCGGAGCAGCAAGCTGGACGTTGCTCAAGGAGACGAGAAGACACGCTGGAAGCAGAGAGATTTCCCTGAAGGGAATCAGCTACCTGACAGCCCCAAGGACAAGCGGCTTCTTGCTCGGCTGAGGCGGAAAGCCTGGCTTCTGCCCCTTATGCACTTCCAGTTTTGGACTTCGGCTGCCTTTTCGCTGATCCAGCCTTTTTACCCAGCACTCGTAAGTACCAGTGCAAATACTGATGCCGACGACGGATATTCCGGCCTCTGTTTAGCGACGGAAAGGAGCCCGATTCTTCGTTCAGAAATAAGAAATTCGCACACTCAGTTCTTCATGTTATACGAAAGGTTCTTACGCTGTGGGGCAAATTATACATCCGGAAACGAAAAGAGACCCAGTTACAATTAAGGTACGTACAAAATATGGGCCTTAATATTTAAATGCTTTATGTCCTTAACGTTAAAGCTAATATATTTGTACAGCGTGCATTATAGAAGTGCCTGTATCTCGAGCACCAATATTACATGATATTCCAAGAATGATGATTTACCTCTTTTTTTTTTTGTAAGGTGCTAAGTTTGAAGTATTTTCTGATCATGCTGAATTTTAATCTGTTTAAATTTTGAGCGTTGTTACAGATTACCGTGGTGAAGTACTCTTAAATATTAAAATTGCAGTTTGTACTTCATTATCGATAATAACCTTTATTACCCACCGAAAGCCAATCGGTGGCTATCCAACCAAATAACTTTCTGCACAGTTCCCTCGATTCTGCTGTCGGCAGCACTTGAATGTAAATTTAGCTCCGTCTTTCACTGCCGCTTCTCGGCAGACGATATTGACCTCATCACCTCTTCGTACATCACTAGTCCTCCTAATGCCGATTGAAATCCATGCAAGAAACTCGCGATATCTTGTGAATTAAAAGAAGAAGTATACCGCCCGAAGAATTCAAACCCTTCAATTCGTTCTCGCCTAAATTCGATGTAACCAAAATCTTGGTACCGTCTTTTGCTTTTAAAAGGAAGACTATAAGTGAAATAATTAAAATGTAGACAGTATGGCTGACTTCCAAAATCCTACGTGAGAAAGTAAAAACGAGCATTTTAGATTTTCTGAAGTGTTTTTCTAAAGTCTTTGCTGCTTGTCAAGGACTTCTAAATGACCAAAAAAAGTTCAAATGTTTAGTCGAGATAATATTATCTGGTCTTAATTTCTGCAGCATCCGTCCAGTATAACCACCTGACTCTCGTCATGATTTGTTTCATTGTGCCTCTACAGGGTGTCACAAAAGAAAATTTACACGGTCTTCTTTACCGCAAAAATAAAGTATGCATCGCCGAACGCTCATTCTCCGCCCAAAGGTAGAGCTAGAGGTCACAACCAGATGCCAAAGTTTCAGCCCGATCCGATAACTTAATCAAAAGTTATAAGTGGATTTCTGAAAATTTCAATGGGAAAATGGCGACCGACGGAGTTTTCGAACACATGGGGCTCTATTGGCACCAGAAACCGAAAACTGGCAAATATAGGCTTTATTTTTTCATTGAAATTTTCAGAAAATCACTTATAACTTTTGATTAAGTTATAGGATCGGGCTGAAACTTTGTCATATGGTGGTGACCTCTAGCGCTACCTTTGGGCGGAGAATAAGCGTCCGGCTATGCCTAGTTTATTTTTGCGGTAAAAAAAAAGTATAAATTTTCTTTTGTGAAACCCTGTACGTCGCGCTGCTTTTGGTTATTTTGGATCTGGCAGAGTGGACGTCCGCCAAGTTCGAACTTGCCGGCGGACGTCACTACCGACAAAATTTTTACATCGAAAACAGTAAAACTTATTCCTGACATGGTGCACAAACAGAGGAATCTATTTCAGTCAAATAATTTGCTCTATCTGCAGGCTGCATCTGCAGGCTTGGAGGCGTGGAAGTATGGATTCGTTTTCTCAACCTACAAAATGGCCATGCTTATCGCTTCGCTTTCGGCAGACCGTTTGGTAAGCAGAGTCACCAACGCTTGCTATTGGAGTTGATTTTAGGTGCACCCAGACTCAGACATAATACAAATACGTCGACACACCGCAGACCATAGTTATTACGGAGATTGGAACACACGTTTTGTGCGCGAATGAGGGCTTTTGTAAAATACGTCGAGGACCTCAGTTGTACCTGTTTAGAATGCGCAATAAATATTGCTTTTATGTGGCTAGTTCCGATTCTTCTTAGATTACTACTTATTTAGAACAAGAGTAGATATGTAACTCTTATTCATTACGACTTGCATTGTCAAGAGGCACTTCAATACAGTTGTAAGCTATAATATATTTAAGCTATCTAAAAAAAAACAAAAAAAAAACACGCTGCAATAGACAAGAATGCAATCCATACCTTAACCATATAATGCTTCACTAGCTTAACCGCGTAAGGTTCGCACAGCATATTTCGGCTGCGTAACCTTCGAGAAGTTAACTTTCGTGTCTCGTAATTTTTGCCACGTCGCCACCTAGGAACGCGGATTTTGCGTGCCAGCTCTGTTCTGACTACGAAACTTGATGGAATTTTAATCGCAATCTGCACTATATATGTATATTTCCTCTATATTTACTCTTTATGCTGTTCGTGGATACAATATACGCTTGCAAAGGCGCGTTACTCTATGTAAGGTTTTATTTACACTATTTACAAATATAGAAAATCACTTTGTTCAGAAGCGCCTGGCCTCAAATTCTGCTCTGCAGCTAGTGTTCCCCGCGACCGTATATTCTTAGTTGTTCGTGGGGAAAATATACACTTATTACTATACTTACTGACAACGTAGTAAGAAACGCAGAGCGGAGCCTATAATAATGACGCTTTTTGATTCATTAGTATTCGGCATTCATATCGGCCAATGCCGGAATCTCATTTGCTACGGAGCGCCTCTAAGATACTCAGAAGTTGCCCTATTCTGCCCAGCGTTCCTTAAGCTCTCATTGCATGTCTGCACAACCAAATATCTCAACAAAAAGTTATGAAGAATACATTTGAGTAATTACATTCGCTTCTATTAAGAGAAAACGTTCCCCTCTGGAACCGACTTTTTTTTCCTCGCAGAACCTTAGGTGCCGCAATCAATGCTATTCATGTTCAATAATAATTTAAAAAAAAATTATGCTTGTTTTGTGATACTATATGCATTTCGCTGAGATGTGAACCGCCATGATCTAGGTCGTAGTAGAGATGTCAACCTGAATGTCAAATGTCTTATCGCCATTTCCATTTGGCAAGTTCCCTTTTTTATTAAGGTGATTGGCGGTTCGTATTTAAAGTGCGGCACTCGGGACAGTTAAAGAGCTTGTATTTGTTTAATTGTACCGAATTTCGCGACTTAATTAAATAAACAAATAAATAAATAAATAAATAAACATATACGTATTTTTAGACGTACTTAATTTTTAAGCTTGACCAGGCTATCATGTACATGAAAAAGCACCCAAGAATAAAATTATTTTTGTTTCCACCCAGATCATTCCAATGAGATATTTCATTTACGTCACAAATACAGTATGTTTATTCAATGACAACATTTGGGACGAAACAAAAGGGGAACGATACCTAAATGTTAGCTTGCCGTTATTAAATTGTAACGATTGCTTTCAAAAACATTTCGTTTTGCTTCGCAGATGGCTCTAATACACCCTCTCAAAATATCTCTGTATGCAGTTGTAGGTTTCTTCATTTTCTCGCTGGTCTTCGGGTAAGTGCCAACTCTTGACTTAGGCGGCGATGCGCTGTAAATCGGCAGAGGGCGACCACGTTTTTTTGTCGTCTATAGTCAGATACAACTTAATGAGGCGTCAGACTCTCCTACCATACCTTAATTACCGTCGGTCACTGTACCTCCGCAGTGCACAAGTAGTCGGCTACCGAGGCGTCCGTTTACCCGACGTCTGTGGAGATCAGTGCATACTGCTTACCCACAGGAATTAAAATACAGACTCCCTCAAAATATTCTAGCGGGCTAGTTGGTTATACATACTAAATTACAAATATCGCTAAGACAAGGACAGACAAGGAAATCTAGAGGTTATTTTATAAGCCTTCAGAATAGTATCGTATATAGTTCAAAATCATTACCTGTGTTTAATTTTTAATATTTTCGTATTGGTCTACTGTGCTTCAGTCTTTTTAGTCTAACAATCTTCTTAGAGCGCCCCAGCTAGCAATATACTTATCTCTTCTTTTTTCAACACCAGACACTTCCTTCACCCTTCTTCTTTATCGTTGCATATAAAACCGTCAGTTGTGAGTTAGCGCCTGTCCTGTCCACTTCTTTGCCTGTCCTTGTCTTAGCGCTATTTGTAATTTAGTACATACATCCCACACAAAAAGGAACAACACGACTTTATCCGAGCAGCCCCAACTATTAAGTGCTCCCTGTCACGGGCCCTGTGACGTGTTAACGTTTTTGCTTGTCAACAAGCCCACAAATCTCGTATCCAGTCCTCGATACTGCCTTCGCAGACCGATTCAGTCCTGTAGCTGATACATGGTGGTGTTCATTTGGCGGATTCTTCACTTGTATTCCACTAATTATACACTACAAAATAGTTGGCGGAAGGCTTATACACGTAAGGGTTTTGAGTGGTAACAGGTATTCCTACATGTTTAAGAAAGGATGATTAATGTACATCACAATAACCAATATTATCGTCCCTGTATTCGCCCACAGTTTGCAATTTTCGTTAAAGCTAATCACGAACTTCTTGCCTTTCTTTTCTCGGAACAGCGCGCTGTATTGGTCGCCTGGAGGAAACACTTTGCTAGGGCTTTCTCTGGCATTAGTCCTCCTTGGAGGATTTACTCACGTTCTTTACCTGGTGACAGTGTACTCAATAGTGACATCCAGATTTCCCGGAAGCCCCGGAGTCCTCATTGTGAGTACGCCGATTTCTGTTATTAAAAGGATGCTCGGGGAAAACCAAAACTTAGACTGAAATAACTGCGAGTCACGCCTTGCATATCCATAGTGGTGCTCATATTGCAGGCGACGTTTGAATGTGTCTGGGGTGTCGGAAATATGGTCGGATCAATCATCGGTGGAGCGCTGATCGACGTGGGTAATGTATTCACGAGTAATGAATGGACTTTAGACTAAGACTGCATTGTTTAAATCTCGTGTATTGTTTTAGATCTGGGCCTTCCCTCTGCCATTTTTCGTGACGGGCACTATCATGATTCTGGCCTTACCATTCATACCAAAGGAAAGGGACGCACCGGGCCAGAAGCCCAATGGTAAGAACGGCTAACTTGATAATTTCATTTTTCTGTCTCGTTCTTTAGGGAGGTTCATTTTGTGTCAATCTACGTCTGTGACACTCCGCAATGGTTCAAACGAGTGATGTCCATTCTAGCGCCGATCACTTTGATTCACTGTACGGAAATTAAAACTAACCATTATGAACCATTATAATCATTTCTCCTTGCCGATAATTTAGCCGGGCTCTTTGTTGGGAGAAGTTAGAGAAGACAATCTTGTATGATCCCATGCCGCATCAGAGACACGGTTGCTATTTATTTATTTTTTGTACTCGTTGATAGCCGTGAAACTTCGTAACAGTTGAAAACCAAGGTTTATTTATATATGCCTGAAAACATACTAAGTAGGTCGTTTGCGAAGTAGCAGAATACATTTGAGATTAAAAAAGCAAACCGTGAAACTGCATTTAAATATTACAGGTTTGATTATCTGGCAGACGCGTAGGTACACTATTCGCCACTCCAGCAAAACGGACGGCACCTACACTCTTAGAAAAAAGGGTATCTATGGTCCTCCCTGAAGGGAGGAACGGTCTTGTAACCTAATGTTTCTCTAGAAAGGGAGAAAATTTCGTCCCTGAATCAGGGGAGCAACGTTCCCACGTCGCCTGCATCGCATTATGGTGGTCCAAATCGAGCAAATCGAGCTCAATAAGGCTCAACGAGGACACTACCTCTCTTGTACGGCACGAGAGGAGCAGTAAATGAAAACGTAACACGAGCTTTCTGCGAACTGTGTTTATTTTCGAAGCCAGGTTCTCTCCGCAGGTAAAGAAACTTGCGTTTCAAAAGCACTTACGCAGTCTTCTCGTCGACAGGACTGCGATGTTAAACGGAAACAACCGATACCCAGTTACTTCGCGCACTTCCCGTCTTGCCTTTGCTATTTCTCGAGTCACAATTCCTTCGTCAGCCGCACATCACAGAGGTATGGTAAACCAGTTCGCGACACCATGCAAAAGCCGCTCTCAAGAAAACAAACTCGAAGCCACCAGTAACACCTTTTGGCGGGCTAGTTGGTTCATGATTTGTAGAAATAAATGAGCTGCGCAAAGGACGAGGACAGAGGTACAAACGAGTACGACACACTGCGCTCCGTGTGTCGTACTCGTTTCTACCTCTGTCCTCGTCCTTTGCACGGTTCATTTATTTCTACGAAGCCACTGTTGCAAGGTAACCAGAAATTCTCGCGTAGCGTGAATGAAGGTTAAATCGCTTGCCACCAGATGGCAGAGTCGAGCAAAGTAGTTCAGAACCATAGATAGGGAACAGTTTGGCCAAGAGGCGTGGCCCGTTTGACAGCTCGTCAGACACGTCACTGACACGTCACGCCAGCGTCGCGGGCACGCCCCACTCCGCCATTTTTGTTCTAACCCGTGCCGGACGACTACGCCCGTACGCTGCTCTCGGCGACTGCCAATGTCTGGTCGTTTTGATTTCTGCTTTTGTCAGTGTCTAACGGCATTTAATTTCTGCGGTGTTCATCGAGAGCCATGTTTAATCAGTTTACGGTAACCTTGTTTATTCTTCGCTCGTACGTGCAGTGAAGCTGCCCGGTTCATAAACATTGATAGCGCTCGGTCAGACTCTGCGCTCGGTGTGTCGTGAAATTTCCACTGGAATAAAACGCTCGTTGTTTACCGCTCTAGTTGAGACCGTTCATATCTGTTGTTTATGATGTCGGAATATGTCAATTTAAATTTCCGACGCAGTTGACACATTTTGGCAGAGTATTCGCGTCAGCGAGCGCCGACTTGCGATCGCGCGTCAGCGGCATAAGATATGAGGTGCGCCCGAGTTTGCTACGAAATCTACGATACGCGTTTCCACCGAAACTATGAGCGATTGTAAACTAAAAATTTAAAGAGAGCTTTATTCTTTATTCTTTATTCATAAGTTACCCCGCATTGCCCGAAGGCGTTACTGCAGGGGAGTTACAAACGTGAAAAAAACAATTCTTCGGTTGCAGAGCACACTTGTTCCTCCGACAGCTTGTTCCATTGTTGGATGGTCTTGACAAAAAAAGAATTAGCGTACATGTTTGTTCTGGCACGGTATTCTCGTATTTTAAAACAGTGATCGGTCCGGCTTGAAATATAGTGCGGTTGCTTTAGGTAATCGTCTTTGTTAATGCCCAGTCGACCATTAAATATTGAAAACAAAAATTTCAGTTTTAATTTGTTCCGTCGGGCTGAGAGTAATTCCCAATTTAATTCTCTTTTCATGTCAGTACAACTATCCTTTTGCCCATATCGTCCCAGAACAAACCTCGCTGCCCTATTTTGAATTTTTCCTAGTTTTTCAATTAGATACTTCTGCGCAGGGTCCCATACAACACATGCATATTCTAGAATTGGTCTAACACATGTCAGATATGCCGTTTTCTTCAAGTTTGTTTCGGAACATTTTAAATTTCGCTGAATGAAGTTTAATGCCCTGCCGGCCCTTAAGACTACATCATCGACTTGGGCGTTCCATGAACAGTCATTCAATAATATAACACCCAGATATTTGTACGTACATTCTGTTTTGATGAAGTCATTATTTATACTGTACTGAGTATCGATTTTTTTCTTACTCCTAGTAAAACTTAAATGGACACACTTTTTTGGATTCAAATTCATCTTCCATTTACAACACCAGTTTTCAACACGTACCAGGTCACTCTGTAATTGTTCTGCGTCATGCTCACTCGTAATGCTTCTATATAAAACACAATCGTCAGCAAACAGTCGAATACGGGATGTTATTTGGCTAGAAATGTCGTTAATATAAATTAAAAACAAAAGGGGTCCCAAGACGGAGCCCTGGGGGACTCCAGATGTAACATCAACGTAATCAGACTGCTTGCCGTTCAAAACCACACATTGACGCCGCTGGGACAAATAGCTTTCAATCCACCTAATAACAGTTGAATCTAAATTAAATATCTTAAGTTTCTGGAGAAGAAGCGAGTGTGAAACCGTGTCAAATGCTTTACGGAAGTCTAAGAAAATACAATCTGTTTGTCTGCGCTCATCAATACCAGATACTAATTCGTGAAAAAATTCCGCAAGCTGTGCTAAGGATATTCGTCCCAGATGGTTATTTGCAACCGTGCTTCTGAGCAGGATTTCTTCGCAATATACGCCTCATGGCATGTGTAGCTTGGAGCTATATATTTAAATGAGATGACCTCGTCATGCGTGCGTTTCTCCTGCTTCAAACGGGGGCTTTCAGTAATGACAGATATTGTTGTATGCAACTTTTTGAGTGGCAGGCTACTATACAAACTTGTCGCGTCTGGGCGTTAGAAAATGCTACTCTAATTTAGCTCACTTTGGAGACAAAACCCCGTTTTTTATTGATCAAATATCATTTATTTTAAACCGTCAAAACAAAACACACAAAGAATGTGCAAACACTGTAGAAATGGCAGTCTGCTTCAGTTTCTTTCAGCCATCTGAGCAATTTTGCTGAAACTGCGATTCTTCAAAGTGTGCCTAGAAAAATATAATTTATTGTACGTAACAATGGCCTATAATTAACATTTACATGCACAGCTGCTTCATGTACATTAAATTCAGGACGACTTATAACTTTAAATTTATATTGCAGTTAATTGCTTAAACATGATCGACATAACCAGGGCCCCTTAGAAGTTGCAGATAGTGAACATCAGAAATGCACCTGATTAGAATTATCTTTGCCGTTTCGTTTTGTTTGATTTAAACTCCATCTGCTCGTATCTCTTGATTCAACAAATTAGGGTCGTACATTTAGTGATCCAACATGCTTTTTTTTATTGCAATGAATTATAATTATGTTTAACTTTTCTTGGGCTGATCCGAAGTTTAAACTGCATGTATGACCATATCACTGCGATTGACAATTATTTATAAATTCGTACCACGCGTGATCCCATGTGTAGAAAAATCCCTATTTACATACGGAGTTTTGGAATAAAGGATAACATTCTTAACCTCACAAAGTCGGGAATTTGACGTCGGCGTCCACTTGTCGTGCTTTATTTTTATTAGCCAAAGGTTCCGTCGTTTTTTTTTTTTTTTTTTTCGAATAATAAACAAGCGAAAGCCGCCACGACTGCTGTTAGAGGACCCAATGGCACAGCAACAAATCATTTTTGTCTTGGAAGTGAAAATAGAACCTCAGCAAATCAAGGAGCCGGTAAACCGCCAGCGTAGCCTACGCGCACGTACGAGGAATAAAAACAAAAATGGTGGACAGGAGCGTGTCCTGTACAGCGCGTTCGTCGTTGCCATGCGGTTGCTAGGGCCAACGTTAACGCCTGTGGGAGGAGTCAAGGGTCCGCCTAGGTTCACCGAGGACAATAGATGGCCAAACTATTTCCCTATCTATGGCTGTTGAGTAATTCAGTATTCAGAAGCACCAAAACCCTTTTGCATCAGAGCGGTCGCTCCCAAGGGAACGTCTCAGGCTCATTAAGTAAAACAAATCTGTTGTCGATAAGACGACGATAAAGAAAAATAATAACAAAACAAAAGAGAAACCACCAAAAGTTGTGTCCACCACTTGGCCCGTAGTTCCAGACCGGACTGACCTGGCTTGGCTCCCAAGTTGCCCGTTTGTCCGTCTTGGCGCCTTGGCTCACACCCGCTACACCTTGGCCACCCACACGAGTCACACAAGTCGCAACAGCCGCAACAGTCTCTGTGAAGTCACAACATCGAGACAAACTGATGCACGGACCTCAATGAAAGTTTTTGAGGTGGACGGGCTGTGTGTCGTCCTGGCTCGCTGGGGCCCGGAGGACTCTGGCTTCGGACTCTTCAGCAGAGCGGCAACATTTTTCCAACCTTAGTAGATGAGGCTACGTCGCTTCCACCAGCTCTGCCTCGCGTTGTTGAAGCGGCGACTGTTGTGGTCCTATGTTCTGCCACTGTTCGTGTTCTGGGCGTTTCACCAAGCCCAGAACCTCGTCGAGGGCCCTACCTGCCGTTTCGCTTGGTTGTAGGCGCGGGCTTGGCTGACGATGTGATCCATGTCCTCGTCCCCGAGGCCATATAGTCTGCACGTCGTGTTCTCATCCCCGAATAGCTCTTCTCTTCTTTTCCGCGTGAGCAGTGCGGCGGTCCGGGCCTGAAAAATAAGGGCGCTCGCTCTGTCTCCCCGATAGTGGTGGTAGGGAGCTGGTACACTTTTGTGTTCCCGATATCGGGCGAGCGACCGCTTCCTCTTCATTTCCTCTTGCCACAGGCACGTTCCGTTCGCAACGATTTCGATTCGTGTCGCCCTTGTCCACTGTCACCGTTGTCCACGTAGCTCTGTGCCCGCACTAAATATGCTGTCTATGGCAGTGATTCTTCTAATACACCCTGTTCTAATTGCCCGGTAGCTGATGTGTTGGTACATTCGCCTGGCGTACCTTTCGCTGGGTAGGAACGCCAGACGACCGAGGGAGTGAGACTTTGCTTTTGCCTCTCTTACCTCGTGGATCGACCACCCCATTTCCCCCGTCACTGCTGCGTTGGCTGCGCAGCAGTTTGCTCCCCGGAGCCACCGTCCAATCTCGGCCTGATGTTTGTCGAGAAGCTTCAGCTGGGCTGGTCCGATTGCTACTGCTTCGTTTGCATATGTTATTGCTGGGACTGCTGATGTCTTCCAAAGCGTTCTTCCCACCGCATATGTACTGTACGAGTGTCTCGTCAGATGCCAGACTTTTCCCTTCAGCTTGCTTGATTTTGCCACCACTGCTGCTTCGTGTTTGGCCAAATAGTCATTAGTGTTCTGGATTTTGATACCCAGGTATGTGTATTCTGTAGCTTCTTCGAGCTGTTGGTTTCCGATGTGGAAGCTTGCTGTCTCTGTTGAATTGAACGCCATCCACTGAGTTTTATCCTTGTTAAACTGGAAGCCATCTTGGTGTGCTACCGCTGCACAAATGTCCGGAAGGTGCTGCATATCCGCCTCAGACTCGGCAAGCAGCACCAAGTCGTCCGCAAAAGCGAGGCAGGAGATCCTGGTGTACTCCTGGCCTCCTTCCTTGGTCACAGTTGTAAAGCGAAGCCCAGGGCCTTTTTCTTCTAGTTCGTCGATCAAGTCATTCATGTAGATATTGAAGAGCGTAGGAGATAGTGGACATCCCTGTCTCAGTCCGATTTCTGTTGCTAATTCTTCTGAGGTGTATGGTCCGAATTGGTAGGGGGCTTTGCAGTCTTCGTATAAGCTTTCCAGTAGTTTTATGGTCTCAGTTTCAAATCCCATATGTTCCATTTTCCTCCAGTTTGTCATGGGGGACGGCATCATAGGCTTTTTCAAGATTTAGGAATGTCACGAACAATTTAGACTTCTCGTGATTTTTCAATTCTATGGCCTGGCTCAGAGTAAATATGTTGTCGTTAGTTCGTCAGTTGGGTCTGAATCCATTCTGTGCCTCGCTTAGGATGTTCGTCTTTTCGCATATATCTTGCAGTCTTCTGTTAAATATGCTCGTAAACAGTTCCTAGGCGTTACCTAGGTTTACCATTGGCCTATACGAGTTTAGGTCCATACGGTCCTTACCTTTCCTTTGTAAATTAGTTGGATATCTGCCTCTTTCCAAGGCTGTGGTATTACTTGGTTTTCTAATATGTCATTATAACAGAGTCTTAGATTCTCCAGTGCCTTTGTTTTTAATGCTTTGAGGAATTCGTTGGGAATGTCGTCCCTGCTTTCTGGTTTTTTAGTTTTTTTACTTGTCTCTTTAATTCTTATCTTTTTTATGGGTTCGGTCATAGTTTCCTGCTGGCTTGCCACTTGTTTGGGCTTGTCTCTTGGATCTCCTGCTGGTCATCGCAGTTTATTTTGCTAGTTCCTGAAGTGCTCAGTCAGCCAAGCTAGCTAGGCTAGGTGGCGCTAGGTATTGCCTAATTCATGTTCTACCAAAAATATCCTCATTTGGTCACGCCACCATTGCGCTTTGGGATCTTCGGGAGACGTTATTATTCACATATGTAGACACCTTACGCATACTACAAGCCTCAGCTGAACAAATACATTGAGCGCATACACATACACGGCACGTACAAGCATCAATACGACAGCACAGGCACATTCACCCGATCACTATTTTTGAGCTCTTCATTTCCGTCTTTCATACTGGTCGTTTTGAACGTACAGAATTTCTCGGTGACCGCCTAAGCAATAAAACATATTCCCAGCATGTTGATTTTTTTCTAACAATGTCATACCTTTGAGAGTATTTCGAACGGCTCAGGGGATGAATCTCTTAGTAAAGATAAACGCTCATGCCGTAATTATTTGAAAGCCAATAAATCAAGCCGCTCCAATGCGGTTCCAAACCATGTGTTTGCTTTCCCGCATGGCACGTCGTAGCCAGTGCTTCTATTATAGTGTCTGTTTTTTTTTCTATTTGTGCTGTTCGTGCACGGCTGCAATGGTCGTCTTGAATTAATTTCTGTAAACCGGATATTCACTCAGCTGGAAGCGATTCTTCGCGGGGGGAGAAATCGCTTTTCGATCAACTTAAATGTAAGTGTACGGGGCAACGCCGTGGCGAGCTTGAAAACGTCTAGCGCTCATCCCAGAGCGTCACTTGGAGGGCATTTTCTCCAGGATCCGCATATTTAAACAGCCAAATAAAATATAGTTTTCTGTTAATTTTGCTTACCATTTTTTCTTAATGCTAAAATTTCAAACTGTAAATATACGTACTTTCCGTCATATTTTCGTACTGCTCAGGTCTTTCCCCGGTGTGCAATCGCTCTCGGGGAGGAGACAACCGACCGTCAGATTGGCCACTTGACGATGAGGGCTTCGGTTCAGACCAGCGTTCCAACATGACTATCAGCACGTCGATCGATTTCACCTAATCCCTAAAGTGGTCTTAAACTGATTAACGTAAAGCGTAATGTCAACCTGCGACACCTTGCCCTCTCCGATCACGGCCCGAACAGCGGCGAAAATCCCCGAGAGTTTACGTCATCTTTTCTTGTTTTTACACAATCGATTCGCGAACACACGGTCAGATCGGCGATAATTCGAGTGTTCTGTGTACAACGCACAACACCGCCGTCGCGATATTGCTGCTATGTTGCGGACACGCAGAAACGCAGAACTACATTGATTGCCGGTTGGCACTCGGCATCGGAAAACAGAACCGAACTCAGCAAAGAAGGGACGCAGGCACCGGGCAGCAAAACCTGCCTGTTTAGGGGGCAGTTTCCGTGATTTCCATAAATGTCGTCAACGTCGACAGATCCACTGTGGACACATCGTTCCGCGTGGTGCGCATGGTTCCGCTTGGGTCCCGCAATCCGGAGATGGCCATGTTAGCCCAGTGTACATACGTAGAGCTGCTGGCACTCCTTCGGAACTTTGCAGTTTCTAGCGGCTTCGTTTGCTCGTTCGATGAAATTAGGGGTAAAAACGTCAATTCAACCGAAATGTTCTGCACGTTTGGACTGTGAGACGGAATTACAGGCGGCCTTCGCTGCCGCTGAAGCTCAATCAACTCAACATTTATTAAACAACGTGCGCGACGTGCTCGAAAAACAAAACCGAAAGAAGAGGAGTCGGGAAGGCGGAAGGCTTTCTCCCGTCTGCTTAGAGAAGAAAAACATCTCATTCATTTTTTCCCCATTTATTTCACCTTAAGGGCCCGTTAAGGGCATTACCTAAAGGGGGAGAGGGGTGTAATCGGAATTTCAACAATATAAAAGCCAAAACACAAGCATGATACAATCGGGGAACTCGGAGAAATTATACAAAATTAAAGCCAATGACAAGAAAGGTGTAGTTTTACTGCAGAGGAGAAATCAGCAGGGTCCAAGATGATGACATGGGAGGGTGGGAGACTGCTCCAGTCGTTGATGGCATGAGGAATAAATGACCGATTGAAAGTGTTAGTAGAGCCAGAAATGCGTTTTATGGTGCAGACGTTGCTGACGTGAGAAGATATTCGGCCAAGGGGTAATAACAAGGTGGTAAAGTGTTCCTAACTTCTTCTCGTGTCCGCTTGGGGGAGCGTCAGTAGAAGGGAGGAAAATGCGCCGTTGCTACCTTTTTCCTCCATTTTTTTTTTTTTTTTTAGTGTGTGCGGTTTAACCCACCGAGCGCTCACTCGAGCGCTGGAGAACTGGCAAGCAAACACATCATTTCCCAAAAAAAAAGCAACAGCAACATAGCCTAAAGTTTTTGAGACGATTATTGCAGTACTATGTTCCCTCTCTGCAAAAATATTAAAATTTTTCGATTACTCTTTACTTGCTTCTATTATCTACAAAATCATAATATTTTGTAATAACAGCTTTTGCAATCTCAACGAAATGTCGTGTTTTCATGAGTCACGTGCCGTCCTGGCTCTCGGCACAATATGCAAGACCCCCACAAGTTTGGAACGCAGTGGAAAAAAATCAAGGCAAACCATTTTGAAGCCAATACTTGCTTGCTTAAACCAGAGTGTTTTGCGTTGAGCTGGCACATCACACGACACGACCAGTGTTTGACCGCCATATTTGTGAAGAAGTGGCAATCCCTATAGGTCGGTGGAGTCGCGAATTGTGGCAAAGCCGGTTAACATATACCAAATACTAAATTATTTATATAAGCAAGAGCGGTACGTTTATTCACCATTCTTCGCCCTCTTTTAGCCCCACCAGAAACTAAAAGTGGGGGCAACTCTCAGTCAAATCCAAAGTTAAGGCGACTCCTTTGGGATCCCATATTTCTGATTGACATTGTGACGGTGATGCTGTGTTGGGTCATCATGGGTTTCAACGAGCCAACTTTGGAACCTTATCTTAGACAGGTATGTCACAAGATCTGACTCTACCTCTTTGGTCAGCTTCTATAACTCTGCTCGTAGAGCGCAGCTCTTAGGTGCCCGTATTCCGGCTTGAGCAGCTTCGCCGTCGCCGTCGGCGTAACCGCGCGGTGCATTATGAGAAACGTCCTATAATGACATCACACGTGACGTCACGAGGGTCCCGCGCGTTGCATTATAGGAAACTCCCATGATGCAACGCGCGGGGAAGAGGGAGGAGGAGGGAGAGGGGAGGAGGAGATGAGGAGGGAGGAGAAGAGATGCCAGCTACCGCACGCAAGTGATATCACCAGTCTTAAATCACAGAGGCACATATGAAAACGTGGTGTACTCGTTATCCAAGTGGCGATCTACATGGGTGCGGGTCTGTGCTGCACCCATCGATCTCTGTAGCGCGTCAGACGAAGTCGGTAAAATGTGTGCCGCCTCAAATACCTCAAGAGAGGAGGAGGAGGGGGAAAGTAGGGGTGGAGGAGGAGCAGGGGAGGAGGAGAGGGTACGGATGAGGAGGAGGGGCATACCCTCCCTCTGTACCCTCCCCTTTTCGACCTCAAGAGCTGCGCTTTAATTCGGCATTACAGGGAGTTATAAACGTCTTTCATTCTTTATCTTGATATACAGTTCGATCTGACCAGCACCGAAGTCGGCGTCGTCTACATGGTGCAGTTTAGCAGCTACGCCTTCGGAGCTGTGGCGTCTGGTCTGTTCTGCCACTTTCAGGTGACTGTCTCAAATACTATCATGATGCAAACTACCTGTATCACGGAGAAGTACTTAAGACACAGAATTATTGTGCATGGCCACTCACTGCCTGTTATGATGGCGCAAAATATAGGAAATTGAATATCTCGATACCATAAAATCTCAAACGTACGCCCGCTAATGAGAGATCGGCCCCATCAGAGTTTTCCGCTTTATTTTTTCACTGTCTAACGTGAGCGTTCATTTGGGATTTTGCGGTATATGTTTTTGTTTGTGCTGATGGCTTTGTACTGAAAACATGAAAAACAAAAACAATTGAATTCGAGAGAAATAACTTTAAAACAAACGTCCTGTTTGTGTAAATCTATAATGCGAAACATCGACCGCCAGCCTGGGGGCTTTCAAGAAATCTGACTAAAGAATAAAGCCAACAGTACACTTCGGAAGTCGGAGGCTAATAATCAAAAATTTCACTCAAACAACGAAAGATATAGAAGTTCAAAGTTTCTTTGTTTGTTTGCTATCTTCCGCGCCGAAAACTTGGTTTCTTGAAAATAGTAATATTTATTCTTGCAGCTCTATGGCCCCTCAGTGCATTCCCTGGAAGCGGTGTTTATACAAAATGCCCATTACAATGTATGTTTATTAGACCCCCACTTCACTCGAAAAATTACGGTAAAACGTAATTTTCAAATATGAAATAAAGTTTGCAGATTTAAATGAGTCTTATGTACGCTCTAGAAAATTCCGCCACGTCCACCTTTTTACAGGGCTTTAGTAGAATCAGCGGATAACGAAGCCGAATAAAAATATAATAGGCCATAAATTCTGCTTGGGCTGGGAAACCGAGTAGGGGATCGAACGACGACCACCCTCAAAAAAACCTGAAAGTACTGATCAGGTCGTTCATCCAGTCGTTGCATTCATCGCAGTTTCCTCGTCGATAGCGATTTTTAAATCAAGGCGCGTTCTAAGGGAAATTGGTCCGGTAAATGGTGTGTCTGTGCGTGTGTGTGTGTGTGTGTGTGCAGGGGGGGGGGGGGAATGGGTGTGAGGGCCTACTTTTGTCTCAAACTTTTATTTATGCTGACTTTCATTTGCTCCACAGATGGAGTCATTCTTCAGTTTTGCAGGCCAGCTCATGACAGCAATAGCTTACCTGATATTGGGGCCGGCACCGTTTATTCCCACGTCACCGTAAGTTAGCTTTGCACGCCCCAATCAAAGATCAAAGAAAGAACTACACTTTGCACTTTCATTACCACGAACGAGTGTGTTCCCGAACATTTCAAGATGAATACAACAATATTCTCACGATCACATAGACGGTTTTATCGTGCGAGCCAACAATTAAAGTAAATTAAGATCTGAAAAGCATGTCTGAGTGCTTGCTGTTATTAAAGAGATATACATGGGCCCCTATTCTTCGAGAAAGACACGAGGGCAGTAAAGGCAGGAGACTGGAAATGGGCTCTTTAAGCGCAGTTTAAGTTCTCTGTAACTACAGTTAAGGCCCGTTCACACTCTTGCGAGCGAGTTAGACCGAGAGAGACCAGACCGGGTTTTAAGCCTCTTTCAACTTCTTAGAACCATTTCCGCTGCGTCGCATTCGGTCCTAAGAAGTCGCAAAAGCCTTAAAAACCGGTCTGGTCTCTCTCGGTCGAAGTCGGTCGCTAGAGTGTGAACGGGCCTTTAGTGTAACGCGTAAGCTTACAAACCAGAATGGCATCCGATATTTCATTCAAAATGTTTTTCGCCGCAGCGGTACCACTTGACTACTGTCCAAAACGCAACGATATTAGGAGCTGACCGTACAGGAGCTTAAAATTATAGCCAGGGCTAAGGTGCCTGAAAGTGTCTCCAACCGGTGTGTTTAACTCGAACAAAAAGTGGTCCCTCAATTTTCCCTTTATGACGTCATAGAAGCGTCGCGCTGTCGCCGGTCGCGATCCTGGCGGTGTCCCGACAGCAGTGGTGGGTGTGGCAGACGCCCGTTCTGCAGCAGGTCACTCTCCAGCTTGGCAGTTCATGAAAGCTCTGCGGCGGGCCGGCGGCCAGGAGTCGGGGCGCCGTGACGACAGCAACCCCCACGTTCGCTCGCCAGGATTGCCACATCCGACGGCCCGCCCCTCCGGCTTTTGTGACGTCATTTCTTGCCACTTCGGGACCATTATCGATGCGTGGGCGGAATGCGGAGAGAAAAGCCGCCTGCTTCGTGCGCCGGAGTTGCGGTGACGCAAGAACAACGCCGAGCCCCGATCGGCTTTGATTGGAAGGACAGTGGGTACACCGCGATGCCTGATGCCTTGAGGTCTACCCACTATTTTCGTTTTCAATCAGCCAATAAGAGCTCGGCGTTCGGACATCATCGCAACCCCAGTGCACAAAGCAGACGAACTTGCGTTCCGCCTATGACGCTAAACACACCAGTCGGACACGTGTTCGAGGCACCGTAGCAGGGATTGCCCGATGAGGACTCGGTGGTCCATTGGGCTAGCTCATACACTCTTGTCGCCAGCCTTTATAGTACAAATGCCCAAAAAACGAATGACGAGCGCTTATTCTTCCTCGTTTTAGGAGCCTATGGATGATATATATCTCACAGGTCCTAACTGGAGTGGGCATGTCGGCCCAATTCATCTGCTCCTACTGCCACGCTCTCAAGCACGCCACGTATGTCGTTGCCCTTCCACCCCTGAACTAAACTGGAGACACAGTTGCTTAAACTTCACCTTGAAAAAAAATGAAGCTACCTACTTATAAAATAAGACGCCTTCTGATTAAGGGGAAATTACACACTTTGTTCCTGATTAAAACGAAATTTTAGAGCACCTAAAATTGTTCGGTCTTTTTCTTTAATTTTAATTTTTACACCGGCCTGTTATTATGACGATTAGTTGACGCTCATAAAATTCCTGCACTGTGGCGTATGAGAGAGAGAAAGGGTGTGTTGAGAGTTGAGTCTAGTATTGTATCTAAATAAAGACAACGTATCTAGTAGCTAAGACTCGCATTTTTGAACGGACCGTAGCTTTGACCTCTAACCCGTAAAACAAACTGATGAGGAATGAACGTTTAAAGAGTACGAAGCCTCGCTAGCTTTTAAACTTAAACTAAGGTTAGATTCCGGAACGAGAAAGTAAAGAGGAGATCCGAAACTCAAGATCTGTCACTGCAATCCTTTTGCGAATTTAATCTAATTAAAGGGGCCCTCCAACAGTATTTGAGCGTCGACTTTTTTTTGCGGTTTCTACACGCTAGTGATCCCGGAAACCCAGTGGACAACAAAAGAGTTTAAAAATATTAGCGCATCATATTTTAATTTGACCACTCGGAAACACCCCCTCCGACGGTGGCGCCTCGAGGTGCCGAATGCGCGCGCATAACGGCGCTCCCTTTCACTATACGTCACATTCTCTGGGTTTCGTGATTGGCGAGAGCCGTCCCAGAAAGTTTGAAGCGAAATAAAGTATATCACACGTTAACCGTCATTATTTCGCTAACACGTTGTTTTTCATAGAGCTACTAAAGTTGCAAAGTAAAGTTCAAAAAGGGCGAAAACAACGCCTTGTCGCTCATGCGCGCCTCCCAGCGGCGTCCGCGACGTACCATCGCGAGCAGACGACAAGTACTCCGTGCAGACAACGCGCATCGTATTTTCACTTGTGCGCCCCCGGTCCCGGTCAACTAAAAGCAGTAAGAAGAGCCAGGGGAACCCTTATTTTCTTTTAGTGGTGTGACAGACTTTTCACTGTTCGAGTGAAGTGCGGCAACGGGACCCAGCTTATATGGTGTCCGACCGCTCACCAGTTTGTACCTCCTACTCGCCGAGGTGGCTCCGGTGGCGGAGTTGCGGGAGACGAGTCTTCCGCGGCTGTCGACGCGAACTGAGGCAGAGACGCGTCGCGGTGCTTGCGTGGAGTGTCCTCGTACGGCGCGACGCCCAGATCCGCACTCAAAATCCGATAAGCCCGGTAAATTTATCGATGATGGCAACCCGATCCCAAAGCTACGATGGTTCCAGCTAGGCCTAATGGCCGACGAGCCGACCGGGCCCAACGACCGGGGCCGACGGGCTATCAACCAAACTCGCGTCCGATTGGCCAACCGCTTTGCTCCAATCGCAAAACTGTTTCATTTTACGTCATGAAGCGCAATGTTTTGCTTATTTAAAGTTGTTTTCTGGAATATTTATTTTGCTAATAACTCACAAAATATTGCAAATTTCTGTAATATTTTTTTTCCTCGGTGTTCCTGCTTTCATGGAGCTCCGTTTCAGCGCGAACTTCAAAGCGGTCAAAAAATTGTTGGTGGGCCCCTTTAAGCAGATACAATCTAAGCACAAAAAGGCGACTGTACTATACTGACATGTACGAGTTCTTATTGCGCTCGTCGCTCGTGGAAATATTCCTTCCATAGCCTCTGACCAGGCGAGGAAGCCAGGGAAGAGCTTCAGTTGTCGCGCCTTCAGCACGCACTTTCCTGCCTTCCATGGCGCTTGGGCGTCTCGTGCACGTAGAACACGCGCGCGTAGTCAAAGCACGAGGGAACGCATGGAACGTGTGCTATAGAAGACGGGTGTTTCAAAAGATGCGCCCTATTATGCTTATTTTTGTTAGTGACTATAAAAGTAGTGCGCAAAGCACGAGGGAAGGCATGGAGCGTGTGCAAGAAGACGGGTGTTTCAAAAGATGCGCCCTGTCATGCTTATTTTTGTTAGTGACTATAAAAGTAGTGCGCAAAGCACGAGGGAAGGCATGGAGCGTGTGCAAGAAAGCTTGTGTTTCAAAAGATGCGCCCTGTCATGCTTATTTCTGTTAGTGACTATAAATGTAGTGCGCAAAGCACGAGGGAAGGCATGGAGCGTGTGCTAGAAAACGGGTGTTTCAAAAGATGCGCCCTGTCATGCTTATTTTTGTAAGTGACTATAAAAGTAGTGCGGCCAATAAAAATATCGTGTTTGCAGACATATCAGTTGTTATGAGCGTTTTAAAAATCTGCATGTTAAACAAATAAGAAAAACGTTCATTTTTTTTTCCAGGACACGAGGTTATCCAGATGATGTACGAACATCTGGATTTGTTTCATCTGTTGTTTTTACACTTCTGGTGTTTGGGTGAGTTTACTGCTTGTGGTGCCCTCGCTCGAAGTAGGACGGTCATGTTTCTATATGTTGCTACAATCATATACGTAGGCAGTGCAATCCATTCATAACGATACCACATATAACTATGTGCTGCTTATAAGGATCAGTTTTTATAGTTTCTAGACTGGAAACTCTCAGTATCTAGTTCAGATACAATGATAATCGGTTTTAACGATCGCATTTGTATATGGCTCAGACACAATATGAGTGTTTTAATTTGTTCAAGGGCCATGACTTCACCTCCGATTGCTGGAGTATTGGTGGACGTTTTTGGATACAGGAAAGGGTCCATGTTCCTGTTTGCTGTTCTTCTAGTTTGGGTGAGTTTCTAAGCGAATTTGGACTCTTGATGAAAGGGCACTGCTTAACGATAGGAAGTGTCTGATGGGTCCTGCTAATTATGCGTCAAGGCTCCGTCCACCTCTTACAGTCATACGTTCTTCTTTTTGTATTGTTTCTGTTTTTTGCAACATATGCTAAGTAGTAAAGTAAGCATAAAATATATCCAAAGCATTTGGAAGCGCAAAACCTAATGGATAAACTATAAATTTCGAGGCTCTCTTTTTTACAATTACTAAATTAGGCTATTGTTTATTGCCCCCGCTGCTAAATTAGCATCAATAAGTGTTTCACACCTTTCACGAAACCGGGATGATTTACCGATGGCGCAGAACGGGAAGGATCGAGGCTTTACAAGAATAGATTGGAAGATCACTGTTAGCACTCAATCAGAAAGCCTCTTGTGTCTTCCATCCGACAGTCATGCTTTCTTCGACATCACTAAGACATTTCATAAGAACGAAGTGACACACTGCTTACGAAAATGTGTTATATATATATATTGTTAGGAAGATAAAGACGAGGAACGGTTGGGTACGGGGGAACGTGCGAGCAGCTCGAGAGGCCGCGCTGTGTGTGCTTACGAACGGTTCGCGATATCTGTCGCTCCCTCGCTGCCTCTTAATTTATCCTATTTCTCACCCTTGCAAGTGGTGGAGGTGCTCTAGCTCCCCAACCTCTCGCTCCCCTCCAACTCTCCCACCACATCGGTCTGGAACTCCGTAGCGGTCGCAAGATCCCCATTATGGCTGAAGAAGCCCAAACCGGCGTCACCATCCGCGCACCGACTGCCGCTCCAGCCACCACACCACCAACCGTCAAGAACCGGCAGCGGGACCCGCCACTTTTTGCGGGCACACCAGATTCCGATGTCCACGACTGGCTGAAGACCTACGAACGGGCAAGTCTCCACAACCGTTGGGATGACTCTTTCAAGCTCGCGAACGTTTTTTTCTTCCTCAAAGACACCGCTCTGAAATGGTTTGAAAATCACGAAGAAGAAATTAACTCGTGGGACGCCTTCAAGGCCACTTTTTCAAACGCCTTCGGCAAGCCAGAGCAGCGTAAGCAGCAAGCAAAGGAGAAGTTGGCTAGCCGCTATCAGGCAAGCACCGAGTCATCCACTTCTTACATTGAGGATGTACTGCGGCTATGCTCCCGCGTTGATCCTGAAATGCCAGAAGATGACCGCATTCGCCACCTTTTTAAAGGACTTTCGCAGGAGCTATTCACCATCGTTGCGCCAAAATCTCCACCAACAGTACAGCAGCTCATTGACGAATGCAAAAAGTATGAAGAGCTGCAGAGTGCCCGCATCGCTAAGGCACCTTTCGAGCGTCTCCCCGAGGTGTGTCTTGCAACCGCCTCCAGTACCGACATACCTACATTGATTAGGACAATCATCCGCGATGAACTACGTCCTTACCTCGCTCATTTAACACCAGCCGCTGCTCTTGCCCAAGAAATACCACAAGTGAAATCTATGCAGCAAGTTGTCCAACAAGAAATCCGCGCTGCGTTAGGTCACCTTGCCCTACCAACTGCCGCTTGCCCGCCAGCGCCATCGGCGCCTCCACTCATTTGTTCAATGCCCCAAGACTCATACCCCCGCTATTGTAGGCCTGCGGTTCAACAGCCGCCCCAATCTTCCCGGCCTTATGGGCCCCGGCGTCGAACTGAGATCTGGCGAACCGAAGATAACCGCCCCATCTGTTACCATTGCCACACACCGGGCCATGTCGCACGCTACTGCCGCAATCTAGTGGACACTACAATGTACCGACCCTTAGCGACGGGCCCTTCCCGCACCTTCCGGAATGAGGCGCACCCTTCTGACGATCGACACGACCCACGTACTCCTTCGCCGATCACCAATCGCCGTGGCCGATCACCATCACCCTACCCTCGCCGCCCACGCTCTGTGTCGCCCCTTAACGCCGTTGCCGAATTCACCGAGACGTCAAACTAGAGCCAGCAGTCTGTGCGAACACCGGAGGTCAGACTGCACTCTCCAATCTCGACAAAAAACCTCCTTCTGACAGCCCAACGACTGTTCAAGTTAAAATTGACGGAAAGACGTTTACAGCCCTAGTGGATACAGGCGCCGCCAAATCATGTATTGCCGAAAATATTCGTCGTCGTCTACGAAAAGTGCTCACGCCTGCTGACGGACGGTTGCTACGGATGGGTAACGGGGAACTGGTGCGACCCCTTGGCTATTCAACCCTTTCAGTGCTTCTTGGGGGTAGCCGATACACAGTCATCTTCACAGTGTTGGCGAACTGTGTCGCTGACTTAATCCTTGGGTGTGACTTTCTGACAGCAACCGATGCTTTTATTGACTGCGGAAGTCGCGAGCTTCATCTGAACACTTACAACAAAGATGCCACCTCTTTGGATTTGACTCCGGTTGTCCTTCGTGTCGAAGAGGACGTATCCTTGCCTCCGTTGACCGCAGTGTTTGTCGAGCTCGTGCCCAAGGCGCCCTTTAGCGGTTCCTGCGGCTTTGTCGAGCCCATTCGCACCAGCTTTGAAAAAAAAGCCGCTCTTGTACCGTACTCAATTGCCGTACAGAAAGCAGGACGAGTCCAGTTGTGCATTACAAACCCTTCAGCGGAAGTGTTAATGCTACCTCGGGGATCTCGTGTCGCCACCATTCAAACGTATGACGAGCATACACTTGCTGCTTTATCTCCGGGAGCTCTCAACACCTCTCCGCGGTCACCCTCTGCCACTCCTTCAAGCTGCGAGACTGTTCAGATGATCGACCCTTCCCTGACCAACACAGAGCATCAGGCTCTCTCCACTCTGCTAACCGCGTACAGTGATTTATTTGATTTTGACCGACGTGCCCTCACGAAGACAACGACTGTGAACCACGGCATTGACACCGGTACGGCAACTCCAGTGAAAAGTCGAGCTTACAGAGTTTCACCAGCAGAGCGCCGAACGATACAAGAAAACGTCGCTGACATGCTCAAGAAAAACGTAATCGAACCTTCATCCAGCCCTTGGTCGTCGCCTGTAGTACTCGTGAAAAAAAAGGATGGTTCATGGCGATTTTGCGTTGACTACCGCCGCTTAAACAAAGTCACCAAAAAAGACGCCTACCCGTTACCTCGAATTGACGACACCTTAGACACGCTTCAGGGCTCATCCTTTTTCTCTTTATGGACCTACGCAGCGGCTACTGGCAAATACCTCTCTCCGATGACGCCAAACCAAAAACAGCATTTATCACTCCTGATGGCCTTTATCAATTCAACGTAATGCCGTTTGGACTATGCAATGCCCCTGCGACATTTGAACGAATGATGGACAATTTGCTTAGGGGCTTTACGTGGAACATTTGTTTATGCTATCTGGACGACGTTGTTGTTTTTTCAGCGACGTTTGACGAGCATATACGCCGACTGCGCCAAGTTCTCGATTGTTTCCGTGCAGCTAAACTACAGCTAAACTCCAAGAAGTGCAGGTTCGGAGCGCGGCAAATCAAAGTACTTGGCCACCTGGTCAGTGTCGACGGAATTCGCCCCGACCCCGACAAGATTCAAGCCGTCTCCGAATTTCCTGTGCCTAAGAACTTGAAAGACGTTCGCGGTTTTCTTGGCCTCTGCACCTATTTTCGAAAATTTATACCGGCATTTTCCAACCTTGCCGAACCGCTGAACGAGCTACTTCGAATGGGCCGAGCCTTCCACTGGGATCAACCCCAAGAACACGCCTTCAACTCTCTTAAGCGGGCCCTCATCTCTGACCCGATTCTTGGACATTTCTTAGAAGGCGCCGACACAGAATTACGCACCGATGCTAGCGGTCACGGATTAGGTGCTGTCCTGGCTCAAAACGTTGGTAACACAAAGCGAGTGATTGCATACGCAAGCCGAACTCTTACGAAATGCGAACGTAACTACGCAATCACCGAACGTGAGTGCTTGGCTGTCGTATGGGCCATTACCAAATTTCGTCCATATCTTTATGGAACCCACTTTCGAGTCGTCACAGATCACCACGCCCTTTGCTGGCTTACGAATCTTAAGGACCCATCTGGACGCCTTGCACGTTGGTCCCTCAAGATTCAGGACTACGACTTCAGCATCGTCCACAAGTCTGGAAAGCTACACCTCGATGCTGACGGCTTGTCTCGGTGTCCACTGCCTAGTGAGCCTTCTGGACAGGAACCCCAGGGCTCCCCTTTGCTCTCTGCAGCTTTGGACACAATTGACGTAGCCGACGCTCAACTATCGGACCAACATTTAAAACCTATCATACATTACCTATTGGGAACCGCCACACGTTCCACGCGCCAACTGCAACGACGTGCTACCCTTTTCACGCTTCACGAGGGTGTTCTTTATAGAAAAACTACGAACCACATGGGCGTCCGTGGCTGCTTGTTGTACCCCGAATACTCCAAAGAGATATCATACAAGCGCATCATGACGACCCGACTGCTGGTCACCTTGGATTTAGCAAGACATACTTCCGCATCCGTGCTCGCTATTTTTGGAACGGCATGTACCGCACCATTAACAGATACATCCGAACATGTCGCCTTTGCCAAACGAAGAAAAGCCGTACGACCAGGACACCTGGTCCTCTTCAATCTATTACTCCACCGGACACTCCCTTTAAAAAAATTGGTATCGATTTTTTGGGTCCTTTTCCGCTTTCTGCCAACAACAACCGATGGGTTATTGTGGCCGTCGACTACCTGACGCGGTACGCTGAGACGACATCTGTACCAAAGGCCACTGCCCAAGAAGTAGCGGATTTTTTTCTCCATAAGATCCTACTGCGTCATGGAGCACCACAAGTCATCATCAGCGATCGAGGCACTCCGTTCATTGCTCAGCTTCTTGAGGAGATTTTACGCCTCTTCAACACAGTTCACAAGTGGACGAGCGCGTACCACCCACAGACTAACGGACTGACCGAACGCCTTAACAAGACATTATCACAAATGATATCTATGTATGTCGACGACCACCATACCAATTGGGACACCGTCATCCCTTATGTGACTTACGCATACAACACAGCACACCAGGCCACAACGGGCTTCTCCCCTTACTACCTTTTATACGCCCGCGAACCTCTCACAACTCTTGACACAGTTTTGCCCTTTATCAACCACCCCCCAGTCAGTGGCTTTGCCGCCGACATCGTCTGCCGAGCCCAAGATGCTCGTCACCTTGCCCGCCTCCACACCTTCAAGTCGCAGCAGCAACAGCAGCTTCGCCACGCCGAGAGTCACTCTTCCGTCACTTACGAGATTGGGGACATAGTTCTCCTAGCCACACCGCTGCGTCAGCCGGGACTATCTCAAAAACTTCTCTCTAAGTACATTGGACCCTATCGTGTTGTTCGTCGCCTTTCCCCCACGAATTATGAAGTGTCACCGCTGACGCCTCCACAGGATCATCGCTCGAAGACCACAGACATTGTTCACGTTGCCAGGATGAAGCCATTCTACAGTCCGGACAACCCCCATTGATCTGACCTATGTCAGCTCTTACCCGACCGGCGGGAAGTGTTAGGAAGATAAAGACGAGGAACGGTTGGGTACGGGGGAACGTGCGAGCAGCTCGAGAGGCCGCGCTGTGTGTGCTTACGAACGGTTCGCGATATCTGTCGCTCCCTCGCTGCCTCTTAATTTATCCTATTTCTCACCCTTGCAATATATATATATATATATATATATATATATATATATATATATATATATATATATATATATACGGTGAAGATGTTCAACGGGCCTGTTGGACGTAAAACGAAAGTAGAGGAGCTCCAGGAAACGCCTTTCTTTACTGCACCAACGTTTCAAGCGGGGACCGCTTTTCTTCAGGGTGGGATGTTTTTGCATCCCACCCTGAAGAAAAAATATCCCACCCTGAAGAAAAGCGGTCCCCGCTTGAAACGTTGGTGCAGTAAAGAAAGGCCTTTCCTGGAGCTCCTCCACTTTCGTTATATATATATATATATATATATATATATATATATATATATATTCGATGAAGCTTTAAAAGGCCAGACATCCAGACTGAAAAATCATAAAAAAACTTTCAGAAAAAAATATATTGCTATATCTCTTAAAAACGGCTCCCACTTTATCGGGTTAGGGCATGAATTAACATCTTGCAGCACATTTTATTCACCACTTGCATCCACGAAGTCAATCTCTGACATGAAATTCCTGTAAGTAATGTTCGAAAATCACTAAGCGGTGCAGCTAGTAGAAAAACATTTAAGGGCACACGATTTGGATTCACCGATGTTATTATGAAGCCACGCTGAAAAGCGCGTCTTACGTCTCTTTTTATTGCAGACACCGGTTACTCTCTTCCAATGGCTCCGGTCGGTTTGCTCTACGAGTTCGAAAATTCGAGTCACAATGGCTCAAGCGTGAGTTTTTAGCTCGTGTATTACGATGAATGCGTGTAAATAAAATAATTGTACTCTTTGTTCTGCCACTACACAAGCCTTATCGAACTAAAAACAACCTTGCAAAACAAGATAACGCATGACAACCTTGCTTTCATTTTTCGGAAATAACCTATTCCTTACAAAAATCATAGGGGGTTAATGTAGTTGAGTTATTCTTTGGTTTAATTGACTAAGAACGAAACATACCCGACCCAAATCTTTCTTCGGTAAGGATTACCTGTGAGATAACGTGGGGTACGCCAAGGTAAATGTGATATCATAATTCACTTTACTCGACGGTAGAAAACCCTGTATGCAACTAAATTTATTGTACAAAAAAAAAAAAAAAAAAAAACGAGCAGCATCCCATAATCTACACAGACTCCAGCCATCATTTGTCAGAAGCAGAAAGCAACGCCAGCAGCTTTGCAGTAAAACATCTATCATTGCCTTCTAGCCCTGTTTTAAGTCAGGTTTTCAATAATCTCCGCCCCCCCCCCCCCCCCATCCAATCTACTGTACCCGGTATATCTAAGCTGTGATTGCCTATGTGGATTTGTCGGGAGAAAATAAAAAAGACAGCCTATAATATTAAGCCTTTGAGTTTAGCGGACCGTTTCCTCACTTTTGAAATACCGAATCTCCAAACTGGAGACCAGAACTTTGAACGTTTTAATTTGTATTTATTGTGTGTTTTTCAATCCTAAAATGTCACGGTAGCCTGAGTTTAAGAGACACTTCGTTTCTATAAATTAAAAAAAAAATCATTATTATTAGCATTTCCGTTCATGTCGCATGTCAATTAAAATGAAACTGGATACAAAATCTGTAATAAACAAACACTTTTGTTCTCACTGTCCCCACATTTTGTGAAGCAACAATTTGTACAACCATTTTAATGGATGTGTGTCTACAGATGTGAAACTGTCAGGATATAGCGTGCATGGATTTACGCTGTCCCTGGGTCATAGATTGCCTAATTTTCCCGAGAGGGGGCAAGGAGCGAAAGGGCGCAGAGTAGACGGCCGTCGAAGCGGCCGAAGCCCACGGGGGTAGGTTTCGGCGCTGCCATCGCTCTGTCGAGTGCAAATGAGCTGAGTGGCCTGTATTCTCCCTGGTACAGTATCTGATCATAGATTTTGCCTCCTCCTCAGTGCTCGTATTTCAAATGCGGCCACTAAACCACTCATTTGAGATACCGTATTTACTCGAGTGATAGGCGCACTGTTTATGAGGAAAACCTGAGGGTTCGCTTTTCCGCGGAGCATGCAACTTGCCGATCACCGCGATCAGCAGCATGATTCCAGCGGTTTAAGGGACAGAAATAACGTCTTCGCGCGACGATACTATCTGCGAAGATTGCATTTGTATGGTGAATCGTGTTCTCGATCTAGTTATTCGCTTTGTTACTTTTGCGCAACGCGATGATTGGCTGTGCATGTGCTCTGCGGTAAAGCAAACGCAAGGACCTTGTTCATAAATAGTGCGGCTATTACTCGAGTAAATACGGTAGGCCAAACGCTCATTGCGACTTCTTTATTTAAATTTATATTTGCTTTCGTCGACAAAAAACAGTGGGACTGGGCGTCGATTAAAACGTTTATCCCGATTAATCGCAACCGTTTAATCGATTAATTAATCGATTTATCGGTCTTGTTCTTTTTTATGCATAATAAATCAAAAGTAATTTCGTTTTTGCTGTCGTTGAATATGAGACGATAGGACAAGCGGCAAAATATACAATTTTGATTTCGAATCAATTTCAATGTCTAGTTGAGACCGATCAAAGACACACTCACCGATTCTTGCTTCAGCTGCATGAGTCAAAGAGGTTTGTTAATCATATCCGCCGGCAAGAGAGACTGCCCTGATTGTTTACATTAGTTTCTGCTCCGCTAAACGGACACTCGACCGGCGTTGAAGTGGCCGAAACACGTGCAACCTTCTGCAATCGTCTGGTGTCAGAAGTCTCGTTTCTACAGTTTTACTTTTCGCTAAGTTTCACCTAAAGTTTGCCCTTGACACAGGTGTAGTCGTCCACGTCTGCGTCGTGAAAGCGTTGAATTTTTACGTTCTTTTGGTTCGTCAAAATTTTACCGATGAAGCGGTTAAAAATTAATGGCGATAAAAAATAATCGATCAATGGGTAGGTTAATCGAATAATTGCCCAGCCCTAGAAACACGAATATCAAATTGTCAGCTTTGACGGTGTTTAAGAATGCGGTGACTCCATGCTTCCATGCTGCTTTTTACGCACTACCGAGCTTATAGTTCCATAACGATGATAACCAGCAACAGGATTACTGCTTGAGAGGTCACAGCAAGACTAATCCTGATCGTTATGTACGTTACAAATATAAACCATATGAGAGCGCCACCGAAACAACTCGTCGCAAATAACGAAGATAGACCAACAAGAAAACCTTTTTTGGTGGCTTTGTCTGCATTCAGTGCATTTAATTAGTAACAATAACCAAATCACGGGCTACATCCGTAACAATAAACAAACATTGCAGACAGTCTACAGAGAGTGGTAAGGGATCACTATCTGTTGACTCTCTATGCCGTCGCCTTCACCTGCCTCCATCTGTTGGCTGCTGCAAATCAGACGCCGTTCAAGAGCAACTTTTGAGGACACGGCGGTTTAGCTCCAGGATTTAGCGACACGTAGCGCATCGACATTCAAGCAATTTTGAAACGTAGTTTCGCGCGTCGATCACCAATATCGCCCTCCTTTCTTGTCCCTCCGCTCACCGTACGGTCCGCCGGTGTCTTTTGCTTTTCTCGCCGTCCGTTTGCTTCTGCGGCCACGTGCTGCGTCATGTGCGAGAAGCTTTGAAGCAGTTAAAAAAAGAAAGAAAGCCCTCTTATAGTGGGCGAAAGGCGTCAACATCATGGACCAAAACAGTAAAGGGAAAGACGACGTGAAAAAGATGTAAACTTCGCTGAGAAACTAGATTCATTCTAGAGTCCTATTTCACAGTTGTGTGTACTCACGTTAGGAAGATACGGAAAGAAGAACGTTCAGAATCAATCGCTGAAGATATTCAGTCCTAGGGCTACGCTTTTTGTTTACGCGTCTTGTCCTTACAGTGTGGACTGTTCTCTTCTCACCGTTCATCCTGCTTCATTGTCTCTCCCCAAGATGACATCTTTGCGTTTCGTCTGCGGGCTTTAGAGCAAAAACAGAACTGAATATTGAGAATCAATTGAGCGCACCCGATACAGCTGCCCGCCCCCCCCCCCCCCCCCCCCCCCAGTGTAAGCATAAAATAATAAATCAGAAGACTTGGACAGAACCAATATAGCATTATGTTTGATAGCTCTTGGTTCTATTGTTATGGTTTATTCTTTGGTTGTCATTCTTCAAGGTTCGTTTTTGTCTGATCGTGGTTTTATTATAAGCAATTTGGTTATCTCCCCGAGCCCTTTTAAATCAATTCTTGAACCATTTACTGGGGTTCAGTAATAGTACAAAAAAGTAGTTATCCCGTGCATCGGGTAATGCTATACTTGCTGGATTAATCAAAACTCGAGCTGTTGGTTATTATGACTGATTTTTGAGCTTGTTCCGCAAATTATTTAGCCGCTGAATATCAGTGAATTAACGTAGTCGGGCAGTCTTCTTTACACCAAAGACATCTAATTTGTCGTTTTTTACCAGGCTGTCGAACCTAACTCAAACCCGAGCTGCAAACTGGATCAAAACTGTTATTTTGACCAAACCGGGAAAAAACCAAACTCTAAATCGAATATTTGGTAATTAACTCGAACAAGAACAAACCACAATCTTATGTAGCGGTTTTCGGTTGGATGAGAAACGGTTTGGCAGAACGTAAAGCGTGTTACTTATTCGAATCGACTTTACTTTTGCTCATCAAATGCTAATAGCGTTGGGCCACCGTGCATGTCACGCGCAATGTTGCTTTGCACGCCATTGTTGGTTTTGAACACCGTATGAAAAGGATGTCGCCCCCTTTAAAATAAAAGCTTTGGTAACGCTTCAAAACGTATTTTATTATTAAGATCAAACCGTCCGTCAAAGAACACGAACATTTTAACCCCATTTGTCAAGTCAAAGCGGCAATGCTAAATGTAACTCTAATTTTATTTCGTCGAACCGCTTTACAGTGAACCGGCCACCGTCACATAAGATTGTGGTTTGGTTCCGGTGCGATCAGAAACCATGGCTTTTATCTAATTTTCGCTTTGGGTTTGGCTCGGTCTGGCACCCTGGCTTTTACAGGTATTCGTTTTTAATAAGAGCACAAGGAAAATACAAGCATTACAAAGAAAGCAAATAAGACTCTCAAGAAAACCAGAGAAATGAATTGTGTTAAGGCAATGCTACCTAGAAGCCAAAGCTCTTACTGTAATTGTATAACAAAACTGTAAAACAAAAATTGCTTTATATTTTGATGATTCCTTGACTAGGTGTTCACAGAGGAACGTTATTAATAATAAAAAAAAAACGTCTGCACAGTGATCTAAATAGTTATTGAAAAATGTATCACTTCTTGAACAATTTTCCTTCCCTATGATACGGATTTGCGCGGTAAACTTCTCTGACTCATCATCCAAAAGCAATATGCTAAGAGCAAGGCACGTATCCATAATTCTGGTTCGGTTTTGGGTTAGATTCTTTCTTCCGTCTTTTTTTTAAGTCTGTTTAGGTCCTAACACACTAAAATATTTAAACGATTGCCCTGATTATGCTGGTTAACTGGGAGTTTTTGCGAGTTTATAAGCAACGATGTGTGGCGGTAAGTTGGGCGCATGCATTGTGTGGTTGTGCAAGCTAATATTGGCTAGTTTGTGATCAAAGTTCTCATGATTTTCTAGGTTTTTTTAAGCTTGCTTTAATTTTGTCGTGCGGGGCTTGCACAACCACATACAGAATATGTCGATCAGTATGCTCAAGACAAGCTAAAGATTTAGTTGCGTTCCAGACAGGCCCTCATATTCGGGATTTGCTTTGTCTCGGCCGCCTTGTTCTCCAGCTCTTTGTGCTGTGCGTATGCCTGCTCGCGCTTGGCATTAATCTTCCTCGTGGAAGTCATGCCGAAACACCGAGTTTGTCGGCATTTTTCG